GGGGAGTTTGGGGAAGTTAATAATGGGCCCAAATTCCCTCTTCCTGATCTTAGCCACATTATTGTGCCACCTTCCTTCTTCAAAGAGGCAGCAGCAGTGTCTGAAGTAGTGGGGCTGGGCGAGGGGCAGAGGCTCACAGTGGAGCTTTACACCTGTATGAGTAGCCTGGAGGAGAGGGTCGGCTAAACAACCAGGGACGACACGGGCAAGTTGTCCCTCCATTGGAGGGATGGGGAAAGAAGAGTGAGCGGGAGGGGTGCAACAGCCTTTGGCCAAACCTCTCTCTGCCTTGGACAACACAAGAAAAGGGGAGCACCATGTGCCTCTGTATTTTAGTACCATACCCCATTTTATAGATGGGGTACGGAGAAGTTGAGTAACTTGCCCAAGGCCATAGATACAGTCAAAAGGGGAAGTCATTGCCAGGCAGGAGGCAGGAGGATCACAAGTTGGAGCCCAGCCTGGGCAACCTAGACCCTGACTCAAAATTGAAAATTTTTAAAAAGGGCTAGGGATGTAGCTCAGGGCAAAGGCCTTGGGTTCAATCCTGAAGGTTACCCAAAAAAAAAAGGAAGTGGGGAAGTTAGGATTCAAACCCAGACTGTGGATTCCAGAGTCCCTCTTCTTAACCATGAAACTATACAATGCCCTCAGTCCCTTATCTGAGTGGTGAGTGACCTGAGGTCGGATCTCTGGAAGGGGACTGGAGTATGGGGTAGCATAGCTGACTTGCGGTTAGGATGGGGAGGGGGGCTGGTGGAAAAAGGAGGGTCACTGCGCGTGTGACCTGGAAGGGTGCGTCCCCCTCCCTGTTCCTCCCTCTGTGCTGTTTCCATGGCAAGCAGCTCTTCTTCTGCCCTGCTGTTTCTTTTCTGGAGCCAGCAGACCAGGGGCTAGAACGTGAGCCAAAATAAACTTCTCCTCCCTAAAGTTTCGGGTGGTGGGTATTTTGTTCGAGAAACAAGGAAAGTGACTAAGACACCAGGTGTGTCTCATGTGTACACGTGCACGTGTGGGTGTGTGCGTGAGCAAACCCATGCACAGAGGGCCATGTACACAGGTAAAGGGGATGGGACTCTTTTCTCCTTGGCCCACCCCAGTTTACTTAGCCTGCCCCTCTTTACCAGAAAGAAATAGCCAGTGTATTTGTACATATCAAGAGACCTCTGGCACCTCCTCACATCCAGAGAGTTCAAAGCCTGCTCCCCATCTCAGCTCCTGTAGCCAGAGCTGCCAGGGAGAGACCTCAGTTAAAGACCACAGGGCTGGGGTCAGGAAAGGAGGCTGGGCCTGGTCTCTTACAAGGCTGCCGTTGGAATGAGGGAGTAAGAGGAGGACCAGGTCCTACCCTTCAGGGCAGTGCTGAGGCTTCTCTGTCCCCTCACTCTATCCCAAAGACAATGAGAACACAAGGAGTTCAGGAGAGGGATAATGGTACCTGGGAAAGCCTTGGGAGAGGAGTCTCAAGGTTTTCCCACCAGCCTGAAAGGCTGCTTTTGCAGAAGTAGACATAGATGTTTTACTAACCCAAAACATATGTACATTTAAATGTAAGAATGTGATTGATCCTTATGTACTGATCTAAAATGATCTCCCAGTAAACAAAGGAAATGGAAGAACAGCTTATACAATACAAGTTCAGGTATAAATCACCCCAAGCTACTAATGGGGGCTAACTGGGTGGGGAGGGTAAAGAAACTGGCACAAGGGAGAAAGGGGGCTCTCTTTTTTTGGGCTAAATAAGCTATAATGTTTGGGTGTCTTTACAAAAACATATATTTATAAATTGCTTGAGTAACTTTTTAAGCATTAAAACTTGAAAAAATATATTGATGGTGTTTGAACCTCTCCCTCAAAAACTAAGAATGGCTGAAAGAGTAAGAGGTTGAATGGTAAGCATAAAACTGCTTCCTATAATTGTCACCCTAATTTGTCCTAATTCTGCAGCACACACTGTGCAGAACTACATTGCTGAAATTGGGGGATGCATCTGCGGCCATATTACCCTGAACGCACCCGATCTCGTCTAAAGCTACGGGATGGAAAATTTCCCAGTGTACTCACACACCCTCCCTTTCCACAGCCAGAGCAGACAGTAATAGTTGCTAACAGATTCCCAAGTGATGCTGTTGCTTTCTACTCCAGGGACCATGTTCTGGGAATCACTGGCATTGAGTATAGCATTGTCCTGCTTCCCTGGACTGTGGGCTTTAAGGCTGGAGAGGACACCAGAAGCAAAGGTGCCCACCAGGTGGCTTCCGACCACGCTACTGCCTTGGCCTTCCTGGAGTGAGGCTGAGCAATTTGGAATTCAGGTTGGTTCAGCTGCAGGTCTTCCTGTGAGGCAGGTGGACAGGAAGGAGGGTTCTAATACGCCTTCCACCAAAGATATGAGCCTTTAAACTCAGTCTTACCCAGTCCCATAATTGTACCTATTAAAGGAAGTAAAATGTTCTTACTTAACAGCCATTTTCTAAGAATGGGCCTTACCAACCAGAGGGCTGCCTGGGTTTAGGGTGTTGCTAATGAGGTCAGGAATCAAAGCTGGAAGGTGAGGATAGAATAAAACTGAAGTGCTTTGAATGCATTTTAAAGAGAACTTGCATGTGTCTGTGAAAATCTAGGAGGGAGGAATCAGGGGCTAGTGAGTTGGGATTACTTGGGGAGAAGAAATAAAGGAAAAAAACCCAAACCCTGCCCTATCCCAGGCTACCCAATGGCCTGCTATCAAGGAGGGGTGTCTAGACTACCGAAATATGCACAGAGGAGTTTTGAACAGTTTGCTGAGAGATATATATGCAGTGTACATTCCTCTCATCACCCTGATGTAATGTTCAGTAAAATTTACATTTCTTCTTAGTATTTGATGTGTGAGTGGACTCCTTAGAAAACTCAGAGGCAACAAATTCTACATCTGATGCTGAATGATCCCAGAGACAGCTCCTACAGAAGGTAGAGTCAAGAGCTGGAGTCAAGGACACAAATGACCCTAGGTTTCCCTTGTTCAGAGCAAATAATTCTTGCCTAACTCCAATGCCCCGGCCCTCCAGGGCTCACAGATGCTAGTACCTGTCCTTCCGTCCCGGCCTTATTCATAGTTGGAAGAAGACTGAATTTTGGTATGTGTAGGAAAATGACTAAGATGTATTTTTCTGCCTAGAAGGGACTAGAGGTTGCCTCTCCTGGAAAGAAAGAGAAGAATATAACAGAAGCAATCCACCCTCTGGAGAAAAAGTAAGTAACGTCATAGCCCCAAGGTGAGTTATAAGAACAGACTGCCAGATGCCCAGGCTGGGAGAGCAGACCTGAGAAGAAGACACAGTAGCTATGCCCAGTGGGTCCAGGAAGGAGTAGGGGCCCTCTATTGGCAGAGGGGGTGCCAGGGTAGGCAGAGAAGTGGTGATGGATAGGTGATGAGCCTCTGCTTCTGTATCTGACTCTGGGTAATCCGGGAGCTAGAGCAACAAATGCAAGAAACCCTACTGTCTCTGTGCTACTGCTGAAGGACAATTTGGTCTCGTTGGTGGGAAAGAGGTTCCTGGGGAAAGACAGATGAGAAGGCTGGTAACAGTGCAGCCTGGAGGACCCAGGGAAAAAAGCCCCAAGGACAGAACTGGAAAGGAAAGGAGTGCAGTGGTCACAGGGTCAGTTTCTTGGTGGTGGTCTGAACAGGACACTGGGGCAGATGGGGGCTGATCTTTCCTTTCTCCGCTTCTTCCTCATTCTGTCCTTTGTTCCTGGCTGGCTACCAGGTGTGTGGCCTCAAAAACGTAGGACCCTTAGGTCCTCTTTGCAAGAGACAGCTCGAAGGCTCTCCTTAGCCACCCAGCTGTTCCCTCCCAGGTCATCCCACCCAAAGCAGCAGCAGAGACAGCAGCTGCTGATAAGAACTCTGTAGCTGCAAGACACCAACATGGGCTTGTGATTTCCGATTCAGTTAGGCCCAAGCTGATAAGCAGAGGGGACTGTCCGTGAGGGCCATGCTGCCCGGCCACCGCTGACGTCTGAGCTTGCAGGGGCTGAGGTGTTGGTCCTTTATTGTGTCCTTTGCTTATTCATTTATTCATTCATTCATTTGCTTTATTTAATGAGCTGAGCATTCTCATAATGTTCTCTTATATCATGAGGGGGAGAATAATGAGTAAACCCTGGCCACTGCCCTCCCAGAACTTATTAAGGGGACAGAGGCAATACCAGGGAGGCATGTGATATAAGTAACTCCAATTAACATGCAAGAGAGAGTGTGAGTCCAGTCACAGGAAGGGGACAGAAAAGGGAGAGAGCTGGGGGAGGGAGGCGGAGCAGTGCAGTAAATGACTTGCATTTCTGGACTTGCTTGGTTTTTTTTTTTTTTTTTGGTACCAGCAATTGAACTCACAATCTTGTGCTTGCCAGGCAGGCACTGTGCTGCTGAGCTATATCCCTGGCCTCTGGACTTGTTTTCTCAAGTGGCTTCCTCTGCAAAGTGAGAGGTCGGAATGAATCTAGTCAAGGCCCTACAGGCAAGATCAGTGACGTCAAAGCTCAGAGCACTTTCATTGCAAGTGACAGGACCCCAGTTCAAACAGGCTTAATCCAAAAAAGATGGGGAATTTATTGGATCATATAGTTCATGTAGTTGATTGATTCAAAAATAGATTAGGCGACAGGGTTTTGGGTACAGCTGAATCCAGGCATTCAAATCATGCTGTCAGCAGTCGTCTCTCTCTCCAGACCCATTGGCATATTAGGCCCTAACAGGATGAACATGTGGAGTGTAACTTTTTCAAATTTCTAGAAATGTTTTGGCAACAGCCTCGTCTTCCAGAATCTTCACTGTCCTTGCCAAATTGTTGATATCCTGGATCATCAACTCCCTTTGACACTTTCCTCCCCCAGCTTTTCTTCCTGCTTCTTTGACTAGTTTTGTTGCTCTTCCTCACTGGGTGAAGGATGACAAAGGGTGAGCTAGAAGAAGGTTTCAGCAGAGAATCCCCCAGCCTGGACTGTTAAACTACACTACTTCCTGGAGGAGCTGAAACACGAGATTGGAGGTTAAGGAGAGACTGGATCATGAAGGACCTTGTAAGTTTCACTAAGGAGTTAGTCACACCCTTGAAAGGAAGAGGGAGCCATTGCAGGTTGTAGCAGGTGTGTAGATTTGCCTTCCACTAGCAGAAAGAGACCCTTAGCTGTGGCAGAGAGCAGGATTAGAGGGAGACCTTGGGCTCTTGCCATGTTTCAGGAGAAAGAGCACAGTGGCCTTATGAGGCAATGACAGCCACAGGGGTGGGAAGAAGTGGACCATTCATGAAATAGCGACAGGACTTGGCGCAGTTTAGATGCAGCAGGTGAGGAAGGGGGAGGTTTCTGTTTTGAAGTGAGAAACAGTGGTCTATGTGGGGGGAAATGGTGAGCTTGGCTAGTGTTTCTTGGGTCAGAGGTGCTTGGGGGACATTTGGCAGTTGATGTCTGGGGTAGGGGGTGGTTGGCAAGTCTGGAGCTCGGGAGTGAGGAGAGAGGTCAGGGCTCCTTTACCACCGCCATGTCAGCACCGAGGAGCTGCCCCATCCTGCCTGATGGGGTCTGTTGCACCAGATCAGAATACAGAACCTCCAGTGACTGCGGGTGACCACAGAGTCTTCTTTAGAAAGCAGCCTCACAGCAGGATGTGTCTGGGAGGAGTTCTGAGGGCCGCTGGAAGGGGAAGGAAGGGGAGGGACAGCACTGGCCTGTGAAACACTGGGCTCTTCTCTGCAGATCTGGAGCCAACAGTCAGGCCTAAAGACCCTTGCTGGGGCTCCTCTCAGACATCTGGCTTCCTGGGTTGCTGGTCTTTCAGGGCAGGACTGAGGGGAGCTCATCTGCCAGAAGATTTGGGGAGCTGGGGATCTGTAGCCAAGCCAAGGTAGGTGCTGGCCGGGTGCTGGTCTCTAGGGAGGGATCCAGGAGAAACTGAGCAGAGGCAAGAGCCAACAGAGTGGGTGGGGAGGAGGGACACCAGAGGGAGAGCCTCTAAGGAGCTGGAGCCGGGACATCCCCGGCTCTTAGGAATGCAAGTCTGGGGTTGCTGAAACCAGTCTTTCTGAGCAGGGTTACCCAAAGGCAGCAGCTCCTAGGACCATTTGGCATGGTTATGATTGCTCAATCCACCTTTGTACAATAAAAGGATGCGGGGCCCTGTAAGGGAACCTCCCTTTGTTCTCCTTGAATGCTATACATGCCAGCGCTAAGAAGGCTAACGATCTAGGCCCCTGATGTAGCATACCTTCCTTATCCTATTTGATTCTCACTAACAATTGGAAGTTGGCTGGATATGTGTTTTCATGCCTATTGTATAGGTCAGGAGACTTGAGGCTTAGAGAGGCAAAGCAACTTGGCAGAGATTGCAGGGTGAGTAGGATAGCAGGACTCAAAGTGCATCACCTGGACCCTTGTCTATGACCCTTCTGGGACACTGTCTGTCCATCCCTCCCCTGGGTCACACTGGTCTGGCTGATTCTGTCTATGCCTAGGGCCCCAGCAGCTTCCCTGTGTACAGAGAGTGGCAGAGGGTCATAGACAAGGGTCCAGGTGATGCACTTTGAGTCCTGCTATTCTACTCACCCTGCAATCACAGACGGTCTTGGGAGCACAGGCACGGCCGTGAGTGTCTGACAGAGAAAGTAAAGTGCCCTGGGGTGCCCAGGGAGATAGGCTGTGTGGCTGGAGTGGGAGAGAGACATCTTGGTGCGGGATCAGGGAGAGCTCTGGGGACAGTGGCTCCTGAGCTGAGGCTTCAGGGAGCGGAGGGCCTGGCATGCCAAAAGGAGGCAGCAGGCATCCCAGTGGAGGGGAGCAGGGCACCCAAACCCAGAGGCAGGAAAGGAGGTGCACAAGGCAGGACCAGGGATGGACAGCGCGAGGCTCCTTTTGTCTGCTAAAGTGTAGAGTTTGGGGAGCACTTTCAGGCATGAGCCTGCCTATCCCTTCATTAGCCCTGGATGGTTTTCAAATAGTACCTCCTTTAGTCCTCCTGACAGCGCTATGAGATAGACGCTGCTCTCAGGTTTGCTTTACAGATAGGGAAACAAGGCACAAAGGTGTCAAGCAACTGGCCCAAGAGACTCTAGCAACAAAGCAGACCGGAACCCAGGCAGGGTGGCAGGGGACCCTGTGCCACGCTGTCTCTCAGGCGGGCTTGCTCTGTTGCCCTCCCGTGCTGTCTCCTGAGAGCACCCTGGCTGGCGTGAGGGACGGGAATTCTAGGATGTCCCCCTGCCATCCCGTGGGGCTCCTGCCCCAGGGAACAATGCTTCCCATCTCCATGGTTCCTTCCCTCCAGGTGTTTCCTTCCCTGCCAGGGGCAGGCTTAGCTGAGAAAACCAAGGCCGCCAGGAAAGCAGGGCTCCGGCTCCCCATCCCCAGCAACCTGTGAATCCTCCTAGGCCTCCTGGGGTGAGCCTGAAACTGAGAGCTCTGCCTCCCACTGCCTCTCACTGGGGCTTCATGAATCCCACACTCTCTACCCTGGGTCTGGCCAGGCTGGTCTGCCCTGGAGCCCTGGAGTGAGGCCATTCTGTGGCGGGGAAAGAAAGGAGAGAACCTATGCGGAGGTGAAAGAGGCAGATGAAAGCGATGCAGACCATGCAGAGCTGACCAGAGCAGACGTCTCTGCTGAGTGGTGGGCAGGACAGGAGGGAGGCCGGGGAGCAGGCCCGGAAGCTCCCTGACTTTTCTTCTCTGGATTGCTCCTGCAGGTGTGGCCACAAGGAAACAGGGTGTTGGGGGTGTCCTTCTGTCTGAACAGCTGCCCTGAGAGCAGGAATGGGGTTCTAGGGAGGGCAGGGAATTGTCAGGCCTGGATTCTTCAGACCTGAAACAGGGATCCTGAGCCAGGCCTCTTCAGATCTGCCTCCAAGTCCTCTTTCTTCAGTCTCCATGGAGCCAGGAAGTGGTCCCCACGTGTCACGTGACAAGTACAGGTGTGAACTCCTTGGGACCATTTTACCCACAAGGGAGTGACCCACTCTGTGTGCATCTGCCCTGAGTACGAGTCGTGGCTAAGGTTCTGAATTTCAGGAAGGATGTTCTCTGAATCCCTGTCCATTCTTTCATTTCTTCATTCTTTGTCTCTAATATCATCCCTCTGTCAAAAATTATGAAGGATCTTCTTGTCCTACGTAAAACTAGCAAGTTAACCTGCCCCAGTCTGTAGATTCAGGCAGAGGACACAAGACTGTAGAGATGAAGGACTTTATTACTCCCTGCACAATGAGCACCACGAGTGTCATGTTTGTAGGTTTCTCTGGTCACCCAAATCCCACGTGGCAGCATGGAGCCAGCCCACATGGGAGATGGGCACCACAGCAGAGGATCTCTAAGCTTAGGAAACCCTGGGCTCTCACCTGTCGACATCCCTGTTATGATGGACAGCAAATAAATCTGCCCTCTGCACTGGAGGGAGACACTCTCTGTCTTCCAAGGCTGTCTGCTACACAAATATTCCTAAAGAGATGGTTTCAAAGAAAGCCCCCTAGACGAGCACAACTTCCGCTTCTCTCACTTCATTCACCCTGAGACACACTCCCACATCAAGACTACGTCTCTGCTATTTTCTTTGCGGGGGATATTTCTCCTGCAGGTGTGGTGCGGCTCTCCCTCGCCTCTTTCATGTTTGTACACAGAGTCACATTCCCCCACCCCCGGCAGACATCACCTTTTAAAATCATGCACACTGGTGAGGGGAGAGATGTTGGTTGAAGGGTACAAAATTTCATTTAGGAAGAATAAGAAGTTATTTGAGATATTTTGCACAGCATGGCGACCATAGTAATAGCTATGTCAGACGAGATCGGGCGTGTTCAGGGTGGTATGGCCATAGACAATAACTATGTCTTGTATACATATGGTCCCTGATTTATGATGACTCAACTTAGGCTATTTTAGCTTTACAACAATGCCAAAGCATACCCACACAAGTGCTCTGGTTATCACTTTTGGGACAATGTTGAGTTCCCTGAGATATTCAACACCTTACTATAGAATTGGCTTTGTGTTGCAGGATTCTGCCCAAATTCAGGCTAATTCAAGAGTTCTAGGCTAAGGCACAATGCTTGGTAGGTTAAATGTATTAAATGCATTGGCAACTTACGATACATTCACACTTAAGGATTTATCAGGATGTAACCTCTCTGTAAACTGATAAGCATCTGCATTTAAAAATTGCAGTGAGAATACATTTCAAATGTTCTCACCACAAAAAATTTTAAGCAATGATGCATGCCCATCTGTAATCCCAGTACTTTGTAGGCTGAGGAAGGAGAATCATGAGTTTAAGGCCAGGTGGATCAAAGAGTGAGACCCTGTCTCAAAAAAAAAAAAAAAAAAAAAAAAAAGAGTTAAGTAAAGTGATGAATATGTTAATTAGCTTGATTTAATAATTCCACACTGTATACATATATTATAATGTTACTTTGTACCCCATAAATATACACAAAAAATTTTAAAATATAAAATAAACCCCAAACATCCCCCCCAACTCTAGAACTTCTCATTCCCCTTCCCAACTTATTTTAATAGCATTTGTCATCATCTAATATACAATTTAAATATTTGGTTTACTCTCTATTCCCTCCCTTCCCACTACATACCCACTACCATGTGTGCGACCTTTGAGAACAGGCATTCGTGTCTGTCTTTATATCCCCAAGTCTAGAGCCATGTCTAGCATATAGAAAGGGCTCACTCAATATTTGTTGAATGAATAGGTGAATTCATCTACTTGTTTAGTCTTCAGGTGGAAACCTGCCTTTGCTACCATTCTCTGCTGTACAGCTTCTGGCATACGGCTGAGAGCTATCGTGTAAGTGAGCTGGTGAATGAATGGTGCAGGTAGTATAAGGTGAGAGGACAGAGTGCTGGCCACAGTCCCTGGTAGCTGGCGTTCACCCCCATGCCTGCTTCGGGGCTTCTTCCTGGCCATGGACGGAGGCCAATGCTTGCTTTCCTGTGATGCTGCCGTCCTGTGGTTCCTGGGGCACCTGGGAGAGGTAGGATATGTGGATAGGCTGCAACAGGCCGTGTGATTGGTCAGTGCCTTGCACATCCTCAGGCAGCACAAAAGACATTGTAGCCTGAGTTATCCAGGATGGGGCCTGAGACAGATCAGCCGCCACAGGTGACAGAACGGCCACCAGCTGAGTATGGCAACACACAGCGTCCTTCTCACCATGGTTCTGACTCCCTCCTTCCTATGGGACTGCTGTCTCCTTAGCCAGGATGCTGAGCACCAACATGCTTGCAAGCTGTTTTGCACTGGCTGTACTAACTGTGCCAAGCAGCCTTGGGTCCATCCTCTAACTGGGGAGTGGCTTGGGGACAGAGACCCTGTCTTGCCTTCTTATGTGCACCCAGCATTCGTTCATTCAATAATGTTTATTGAGAGTTTCTTGTGTGGCACAGACAGTGTCAGGGAATGGAGTTACAACAGTGCACAAAGCAGAATCCTTGTCTGCATTGCCTTTATGGAGTTGCATTCAAGTGGGGGCAACCAGTCAGTCAACAAACATAATATAATGCTTCAGATGCACTGGAAAAGTAGAAAGATGGACTATAAATGTTTGTTGAATGACTTATAGGGCTCCATGGACACCCCTAAATGCCCGGCTCCTATCAGGTATTCTATAATTAACTCTTCACTTTGAGAAGTAGGACTTGAACCATAATATAACTTTCAATTGGCCAGTGTGTCTGCCTTCAAAAGCCCAGCAGGTAGCATAAATTGAGACACAGACAAGACCACAGTGTTCATGGGCACCAACACAGCTCTGTGTTGTGGATACAGAGGATGAGACCTGGGGTTCCTATAGCTTCTCAACAGGGGCCCCTGTTCTTCAGTGATTATTACCATGTGGAACTGTGGGCCCA